TGACCGGCGCTCCCGAGGATGACATAACCGAACCACCGATAAGACCGCGGCCGACGCCATCACGACCTCAACCTCCACCACAACGCCCTCCGCCCGCTATACCGCCCTCACCGTCGCAAAGACGTCCGCCACTCAGACCTATTCCATCCATTCCCAGCCGAAGACCCCCAATACCATCACCAGCTGATCCATTACCCCGATTGCCAGTTCCATCACTTCAACCGCCACGACAGCCGTTGATTGGAGTGAAAACTGGAATAAAAACCCCTTCAAAAGATAGATCTGTTGTTCCATACAATCCCCCATTAGGTCCATCGGTGACACTCATCCGACCCGACCGACCGCTTCCCAATGGAACGATGCCTCCGTGTGGTCTTCAGGGCAAGAACTTTTGCATTCTTACCAATGATTATCCGATGTAAGTATGAATACAAGTGTTAAGACAATTACCCATATTTAGCACTTAATGTGAATTCAACGACAGGACTGACGTGAAGAATGTGGTCGACAAGAGTTTCCAACGAATTCGTTTGATGTACGAAGAGTTGCAGACCGTCGGCGACCCGGAGCTCTTCCAAAGCCATTTGGGAAACAGTAGTGCCTCTCGCGGACAGTTCGCCTGTCAGACCGAATCCAATGTTATGCTTCCGGGTTGGGCTCAGGACGCCGTGTCTGGCGATTGGATGGTCATCGTTAACACCGATATATTCCCGCAAAAAGTTCGCACCGAAAGCTGTCGGTCAGTATATTATCTCACAATATGTTTAATGAACAGAAAAAATACTTTAATTGAAATGCAAAACCGAAACCCCTATACAGTCGTGCAAACGAACCGTGCGATTTCGTCGCCCCCTTCTATGAGTCCACGTGTCAGCAGAGGTTTAGTCTTCACCGACTGATTGCCATCGATCCCAACGACCCGAACAAGAGTCCAATTGTCGCTCTGTTCAAGTTTCCCGCAGGTATTCATTGAATGCAATAACATTTAAAACAATTGTTTTATACACTCTATGTGTGTTCGTGTGTCCTATAGGGTGCTCGTGTCGGGTCGACCCCATCCGCAAGGAGTCCAAGAAGAAGAGGAAACGAGAAACTTTCTATTAATCAATTCATAGCCATGTCTTCAAAGCTGTAGTTCATTTGTAATATAATTATATTTATAACAGATTTGTATATTTTTTGTTAATTTAATAAAATTATTAAAAAACAAAATCTTTGGGTTTATATTTGGTTAGACTTTAACCGCTAAATTAGCAGAATATGCAAAATTGCAAGATTGCAGTGCAAGCCAATTCAATGCAACTTTAATATTTAGTACCGGTAGTAAAGTTAGTATTATTACTGGTCATCATTAATATGAAAAAACACGACATATTTTAAAGTATTTATTAAATAAGAATTTTAGAAACAAATGCAATATCTCTATAAATATTAAATTAATACAATTTATTATTATTAAAATGAATGAAACACGAAATTTAACTAATATTTTATAACTTCATATAACTTATGACAATATTTACAGTAAGTTTATACTCACAGAAAGTGACTTAAAATTTTTATAACTTAAATAAAAATTGGTTTTGGATTCAGTTTTAAAATAACAATCGATGCAAAAAACAAACAAACTTTTTACAAAAAACAAATTTCAGTCTGAAAACCATGACAAACATGGTTTAAAACTGACACTTTATAATGGCATCGCTTATTACTGATGGCATTCTTCTGTAAAAAGTATTGTTTTTCTAGCAATTGTTTTAATCTATTTTAACCGTTGAATAGATTTTTCGCACAAATGCTTTCGTTCCGATGTATCCAAAGGTGCCTATAATTCAATCAACAATTCAATGACATTAGAGAAAATGATTATAAGTTAAATAAAACACACGAAACTTACCGCACATCAGACCTAAAGCGGCACTAAATAGAGCCATATATCCGAAGTAAAAGACGGTTTGAAAGAGTCCATACATTTTCGTCTTAAAGAAGTAGTAGTAAAAAGAATAGAGATATACATATCCGGCGGTCGACGCGCCCGACAAAAAGCTTGTCCACTGCCTGTTATTCGGATGTAAAATACATCGTTAAACAAATTCAATGAAAATTACACAATAGATTCATACCATCGATAGTCTTCAGCGTTGAGTAGAAAATATGTACAAACAATAGTCACACAAACGGTGACAGTCGTGAGGATGAGAAACACCAGAAGCATAAAGCCGTACACGTAATAGATCTTATAGGCCCAGAACGACGTGAAAATAAAATACATTTCTATAAATATGGAGCCAAAGGGCAGTATTCCGCCCAACAAGACAATCACCGCCGGCTCCATAAACCACTTCTTCTCTGGTATGGGTCGCGGAACAGCATTCACACGACACGGACTGTTTGGCTGTCCGGCGAGGTTACGGCCCAACACAGTGCCCACCAATGTTAAAGGCAATATCACGAAAAGGCAAATACTCGTTATCGCCACCTGTTTTGCATACAATTATTCAAATAATTAATAAATCATATATAGAAGCGTCTAATCACTGTTCCATACCATTGTTCCGAATGGTATGGCTCGGGAGGCGTGATAGTAGATGGCAATGAAGTTAATTAGAAAAGCAGTGCCGCATATGAGCGCCGGCAACGAAAATGCGCTCAAAAACATCTGCTTTATCCATAGTCTGCCTCCCGTTTGAGCGTAAAGACTGCCTCCAAAGTAGCCGTTCACCGGTGAAGTGGCCGCGTATACAAAGATCGATGTCGTCAACAAAGAACCTGCAATTCAACACTCATTTAGTCTCACATCTCACAAGCAGTTATTAAAACGAATGGACAAACCTCTGCCGATATAGAGATCACCCATTATTGCGAATATAATGACAGCAAAGGTGACGACCGCCACATGATATCCAGTGCCGATAAGTACAGAGAAGAACAGCGGATTGGCGGGCGATCTGAAGACATCGCCGTGAACTTGTTTCCAGCCGTACTCATCGCCCAAATCTCTCTCCATGTCATCCATCTCTTCGTCTTTGCTGTAGCGCTGATAGTCTTTACGCAAAGTTCTCATGAGAATCATGGAGACGAGACCGACGAGGAATAACACCATCATAAACGAGTTGAAGATCGAGAACCAATGGATCCGGTGCTGGAAGAACGACGGGTCCAGATATTTGTCGAATCTGTTCTCGAAGAGGATGTTAGCCTTTTTCCAATTCACTTCATAAGTAAACGCAATCTTCTTGTTTGGCTCTAATTTGACTTTCACTTCACTCGTGAGGTTGACATCAACGATGCGATTGCCGTTATATCCGACGTCCAGCTTCTTGTGTGTCCACAAGTAGTAGCTGTTGTCGCTCTCATCGACTTCACCAACAATGCCCCAAATGGGCATATCGTCGATATACATCTGATACCAGTAGTAGTTCTTCACCGCATATATGAATGCCTGCAGTTTCTCTTCGTTCAGCTGAACCTCACAATAAGGCGTTTGTCCCACATTTGCTGCCAAAGACAATAATCGGTTAGCACTTCATATAATATGGCATTACCTTAACATTGCATTCATTAGTAATGAACATTACATGTAAAGCATTATATAAATGTATTGCAAAACCGGCATTACATCTGCTCTTCAGGTGTTTATACAATTAATTATAGTTTGTTTTGATAACTCATTGAAAGTTTTTTGACACAAACAATGATCACCAATGAGTATATTATTGGTAACAATCCATACAAACAATTCAATACAATTTTAAACAATTTTATATTTAATTAGACAATGGATTCAAATTGAATCCTAAAAGACAACACATTATGAAATGCTAACCTTTAAAATCAATCTGAAGACCGGAGAACTCGAGTTCGACGCCCTGTAGAGCCTCTCCGAGAGTCTCGTGATAATGGGATATAGCTTTTGGTCAATAGAGATATAAGATTAGCATTAGGTGTACAAGAATGGCGTGTGGATCAAGTCGTGACAGACCTTTCTTAGTGCCCCAACAGAATGGCAATGAGAAGTAGCTGTAAGTTTCCTGTCGATTATGATAGGGTCCGACTGTATTCATCCACAGCACCACCTCTTCGTTGTCTTCGTACTAATCATAAGACAGATAATGACATTCAATGGTTAGAGAGGAATGGATGGATCAGCTCATCAATACATACGGTGTGCGAGTGTTCATCACTAATGGTCTCCGGTATGAGACATACGATGAGGAGACAGACGAGCCGTCGATGGCTTTTATTGGTCATAATCTAATGGATGAGATTGTGGTAAACGTGTTGTCAATGTCGGTGAGTGTGTCTTGCAATCAATGGTACGATCAGTTATAGCGAATCAGTTGTTCTCCACGTCAGAGACATTGAGACAACTCTACAAACACTATGCGATACAAACAGAGAGCAAACGCTAACACTCTCTACAGTCTCTACACTCGACTGCAATGCACTCCATATCGCATACAAACGCCTTCCAAACCCATCGCACACTCAGTCAGGCATACAGTGAGAGACCATTCGCTCACTCTATTAGCCATCTATTGCTCCACCAATTCATACACTATTGTTATCACACGTTATCCACAATACATACAACTGTACTCCCAATCAGTATAACAGCAAACTCTGTGTTACAAGCAGTGGGTGGGGGTGTTGTGGGGGCGAAGACTTAAGCCTACAGTTAAGCCAAGAGTAAGCCCAGTGTCCAGTATATGAGTGAAAATGATGATCAATTTGAAGTGAGGCACACAATTGAGTCAATCAAACTTTTCATTGCATTTAGTTTTAGTGTTAGTTTACTCTCAAAAGTGAACACATTTTGTGCATTTCATAACACTTTTTATGTAAAGTGGGTTTAGTTTTGATTGCATTACTATTGCAAACAAATTGCCTCTAATTTGACGATTGGTTTAGTTTTAGAAATTGTTGTCAAAAAATGGTAAGCAATTAAAGCCGTCAATAATTGTAGGATTTTTTTAATGAATAAACGGTTGAATTGATTGATAGCACGGAAGAGTGAAAGTGAAGACAGATTTGCAAAAACAGTTGGAGAAACAGAAGGAGAAGGAAGAGAAATGTCGACAATATATGGCCGTTCAGAAAGTGGTCTTCCAGAGGGTTAGTCCACTATTTGTCTTATTCATTGTCTAATATATGTACACGAATAGAGAGCTCTCGAGGAATATGACAGCGAATCGTTGTCAACGAGCGGTCAATTGGTTTCAGTGAATCCAGACTTCTATAGCGTTTGGAATTTCAGACGAGAAATCATTATTCGTATGAGAGATGAGGCGAAGAATACGGGAGACAACGACTCGTTTGACAAGATTTGTCGAAATGAACTCCAATTGACGGAAAACTGTTTGAAAGTGAATCCCAAATCATACTGTGTTTGGCATCAGAGGTCATGGATTATCCAGAATATGTCCACTCCTGACCTCAAGACTGAGATCTCTTTGTGCAATAAATTCCTTCAATTTGATGAACGGAACTGTTAGTCAAACCAAATGATTGTTTAATTGATTCCAAAACGACTAAATGTATTAAATATTTCAGTTCTTTGTTGGGATTACAGGCGATTTGTGTCACATTTGGCCGGAGATAACGTGGAATCGGAATTGGAATTTACTTTACATAAGATTCAGCAAAACTTTTCAAACTTCAGTTCTTGGTATTACCGGAGCTGTCTGTTCAGGTCTGCGGCCAATAATCATAGCTATGACTTCAGTAAGCAATGGAAACAAGAGTACGATTTGGTAGAGAACGCCATATTCACGGACCCGACGGATCAGTCGGCCTGGTTTTACCATAAATGGCTCGTCTCTACTAATTATGGTCACAATATTCTTCCCTCAAAACAATTAGATAATGAAAACAGTGTTAAAATCAATAGAATTGTATTGAATAGAAGTCAAGGGCTACTCGTTCTCAATCTGTCCCGTCCTCTGAAACACAAGCCTTTAGTATCAGTCGTTGTAAACGACAAAATGCTGACCAATTCTGACTGGAATTCGCCCAATGATGCCGACTCTAAAGTTTGGTTCATTCATTTGGATCCCTTTCCCACCAATCAAATCAATGGACTAACTATTAGTCCAATTCCAACGTTTGCTAAAAATCCAGAATTAGTTGAATTAATTGATTTAAAACTTGTTTCCAACGAAACAAATGAAAAACATTTGTTTGTTTGGGAGAGAAAGTCACACAATTTGGACCAACAGTGGACTCTAGAGGAGTCTTATCTGAAGACATTGCGTGAATTACACAAATTAGAGCCAAACAATAAATGTTAGTTTATAATTAATATTAAAATACGAATATTTAAGTAATGAATGCCTAAAATGAATATTTCTAGGGGTGAACCTAACCCTTGCATGGAATGAACCAAACAAATCGGAAACGGGCTCTATATTTGATACACTCATTCAATTGGATCCATTGAGAAACAATTACTACAACGACTTGAGTGAGTAATTCATGAACATTGTATGATTGCAATTGAAATGTGAAACCTTTGAATCAATGGTTTACATAGAGAGCAAAACCATTGTGAGAGAGCGTTTGGAAACAATACAATCAATGGATTGCGTTTTGTTAACTAACTTAAACATCACGGCGTTGTATGAAAGCAATCGTTTGTCACACATTCAAACACTTGATTTAAGTGGTAATCGTTTGCTTAAATTGAGCAAAACATTCAATCACTTACTATCACTCGAAGTCTTAATATTGGATTCAAATAACATTTGCAAAATCGATAAAGACTTGAAGTTTAACGCATTGAAAGTTTTGTCACTTAACAAAAACAGTTAAGTTTTTAGAAGCAATTAATTTGGAAACAAATTTATTTATTANTGTCACTTAACAAAAACAGTTAAGTTTTTAGAAGCAATTAATTTGGAAACAAATTTATTTATTATACATTTTATTATACTTTGAAATGATATAGAAATCTACGAATTGGAAAGTGTGACAAATTTAACTCAATCTAAACATTTGGTCAAACTATTAATTACAGAGAATCCCATTTCAAACGCTCTCAAAGATGTTGCCAATGAACCGCTATTACTGTCAGACGGACTACAGATCATAAGCTGTACATCAGATTCAGCCACTTATACATCGGATAATGTTATTAACAATAATAGCGAACCAAATGTTTTCTACAAATTATTTTGAATATACAATACATTTATATTTTATAAACCAATTATGTTTTGTATCAATCAATTGAATTAAATATAAAAACAATATTTAAATATTAAATTAATGGCAAAAATAATAATAATAATGTTTTATAAATGAATATAAGTATTGCATTATTTGTTGATTTGTTGAGCGTTTGAATTAATCATATGATTAGTGTTGACATTGTCTTCATTATTAACCTCCGATTGTGAGACCAATTCATTTAGATTGTGCTCCAAGTCGTCGATTCTGTGTCCCATTTCATCGATTCGGCTCAGGATCTGGTCAGACATTTGCTGGAACTTGTCTTCGACCGACTGCAGCAGTGTTTGCACCTAAACATCACCACAACATTGCAATTACATCCAAATCCAAGCCATAGACAGCAATACAATCAATACATACGAACTGAACCACATCTTTGGCCTCTTTGGGATCAGCGGCGCCGGCGTTGGCGACGGGCGGACACTTGCTATCCATTGATGGCAACACTTCTTCACAACTCTGTAATCGTAATCAAAATGAAAAGCAATGAAACGCTTTTGAGTGTGAATTTAAATCAAATGAATATTGAGACAAATTTTGATGGTTTTGTTTTGAAACTCAAAATCAATTTAAAAGCCTTTTGACAGTACGGTTGAAAAAATGCCCGGCATTTAATATATATGCCATATATGCCCGGCACGTGCCCGGCATATGCCCGGCACGTTTCTATCCAAAAAGGCACCACACCAGATGGCGTAAGTAGTAAAGTGTGTC